TCAATTAGTTTAAAATTATTTTTGAGCCATTTAAAATTATGAGGAAATTAGCATATGATCCCATGATGGTTTCTGACCTATGGTGATGTTGTTGGAATTTTGTTTGTGATCTAATCATTTTCCATCCTTTTTTAGGTTTTATTTGCCTTTTTATTTTGTGTTTTTGTTGATTTTAATTTGCAAAATTGAGATGGTGTGGTTTCTATCCATGTTTGAGTACTTTTATGTCCCTCTTAATGACATTTGAGTGTTTGATGCTTGTTTGATTGCGGTTTGCCTTTCATGTGTGATTTTGATGGTTGATTCTCCTTGAGGCATGTTTGGTTTTCACTTGGTTGATTTCATATGTATGATCTCTCTTGTGTATGCATGTTTGAATGAATGCTTGTTAACCATGTTGACGTGTGGCCTCTCTTTTTTTTCACACCATGTTCTTATGCTTTTCCCTTTTGGGATGCTTTATATGCATGCTTGTATGATTTGGTGTTGACTTGTGGATGAATGGTATGCATGACTTGTTGCCTTGTGCCCTTTCTTTGATCATTGGTATGATTTGAGTATGTTACATTGTGCTTGCTGCCCCACCTTGTTTCCTGTGCTATATGACTTCATCTTACCTTGCTTTGTGTTGGTGAATGTTCGTTTGATGTTGACTTGATGATGCTTGCTTCGTTTGAGTTTGAAATGAATGTGCTTGTTGTCTTCATCTTGGTTTGATAATGACTTCTTATTTGTCCATTCTTCATTCTTCTTCTTTATTCTTCATCTTTCTTATCTTTTTGGAACTTGTTTAAGTTTCATTCTTATTTTCATTTGTGATTGAATTGGTTGATGTTTACCTGTGTTTGCTCACATGATCCCTTAGGATTCCTAGTCCCTCTGTTTAAGATGGGAGTAGGAGAGACATTAGGCTTTCAATCCTTTGCATGATAACAAATAGGATAGCCCCTTTGTATCTCAACTTTAGGTCCATCATTTGTATGATAACATTAGGTAGATTTCCCTTTTATCCCAACCTTACGATCGTCTTGTATGACAACATTAGGATTTTTAGTTTCCCTTTAGTGTTTCCTTTTGTGTCTTCTCATCTTATCTCAAACAATATTAAGACACTTAATAAATAATGATGAACGTTGTGCTCCACGAGCCTTAAGTATATGAGAAATGATGAGTGGGGGTTTCCCCTCACTTGTCTAGAGTGTTTAGTGTATGCCCTTTGGGCGATATACGACACATTCACTCCTATGTCATAGTCTTTAGTGCAACTTTGAATCTCAAACAAATTCAAATCACTTCTCTAAAACTCACAAATCAAATTCAAACCTTTTATCCTTTGGAATTGTTTTAAAACTATTTTCATAAAAGAGTACGTTACTTTTCCGTTCTATCGCAAACAGGCATCGACCCTAACTGCTGGAATGAGAACTTAACGTCACTAATAAAAACACTTAAGCAATCAGTGGTCTAGTTTACTCGAACTAAGTTTGCTCTGATTTCGCATACCAGATGAGGATATGTAGGCACAAGACAGTGATGGCTTGACGAGCAACCTTCCCTCCATCACCTGTAGGTTTTCGAACTACGTTGACTCCGACTTTCCCATTGCACGAGGGAATACGTAGGCATAGGAAGGCGATGTCCTATCGAGTCTCCCTTTTTATTTCCCATCCCCGTTTAACAGTAGTTTTTAGATAACATACTCTTTTGATTAGACAACAAGCGTGGATCCCGTTGAGTACAACGTACGCGAGGGATGCTAATACATATCCCTTGCGTAACCGACTCTCGAACAATATTTGGTTGTGATGACCTTGTCTTCTCCTTTCTTTTAGGTTTTATTTGATCATTTCCTTTCCCTCTCTTTAGGATAAATAACGTTTAGTGGCGAATCTTCTGTTTGTTTCCGCCGATATTTTTGCAGTTGTGACAACATGTCGAAGAGTCTGAGGTTTACATGGCTGAGCTAAAGCCAGGTCCCCTATATGTGTGTAAGTTACTAACATTTGCGAATGGGAAGAATCCTCCAGAACCTAAAGAAAACGATAAGTTTCCTAAGAAAACTTACACCTTCGACGTAACCAAATGCGATGAGATTTTTGATTTATTGGTTGCATATGGTTAAGTACTTGTGCCTCCAGGCAAAAAAGTACCACCATTGGAACAAAGAAACAAACAAGGGTTTTGTAAATATCACAATTTCTTAGGACATATAACCTTACAATGTTCTATTTTCATGGATCTTGTGTTGAATGCTTTGAACGAAGGCAGACTCAAGTTTGCTAAAAGAAAGGCCCCAATGGAAATTGATATTGATCCCTTAAAAATTAGAAATGCCAGCTACGTGGAGCCTGCTATGATCAATATGGTCGAAATCTATGAGGGTTTTGACATGAAAGAATTTGAAACTGAAAACCAGATTGAAGTAGTGTTCTCAAAAGCCGATGATAATCTTATTGAATTTCTTTACAGGTGTCAAGCTAATGATTTCGAAGTGATGTTGTGCCCTAGATGCAGTGCTTTGTTTGACAAGAAAGCTTCATAGCAAGTCAAAGCTACTCAAAAGGCCAAAGACAACGAGAAGGTCCAACCTCAGTTCAACGGAGGTGTTCCTCAAAGGAAGGATTGAGCAACTAGCTTCCAAAAGGCGAAGCAAAACACATACAAGCCTTCAGCTGACATTCCCCCAGGGAAAATGGCCAAAACCTGCTGAGAGATAATGCAACAGGAACCCAAAATGGAGAAACTTTGAGATTGGTCGAGGTTCCTCCATGACATACAAGGAGAATTTTCAAATGTCTAAAAGGCGTTCCTATGTGCTTATCGCAAAAATACAAGGGGAGGAATCCCATGAATAGAATCCAATGGCGTAGATTCCATAGGAAAAAGAAAGCCGAAAGGGATGCTTCCAGTTCGAGCAATATCAATCCTCGACAGAAGCCTGAAGACGAGCAGTCAAAGAAACCATTTGGGAGGAAACTGTTTCGCTCTAGGAAGATCAACAGAGAGGAGCAAGCTAAAGAGGATGAGTTGGTAACAAATAATTTTGACTCAGGGTCGTAAGGTGACTTCAATGTCCTATATAATGTTGTCTCCATACTTCCTTATGAGTACGACCGTGTGACTGAGGTCATTGAAGAGGAAGACTATGAGGAAGAAGAACTGGCAAAACACAAGTCAGTTTGTTACTTTATTATGAACAATGGGTGCGTCGAAGAGCAAAATGCTTTCTTTGAGCACCCCATATAGGAATGAATAATCACTTGAAGCCTCTCTTCATAAGGGCTAAGGTCGAAGGCACTACAGTTAACAAAATATTGGTAGACGCTGGCACCGTAGTGAACCTGATGCCACATTTCATGCTGGCTAAGTTAGGAATGTATGAAAATGACCTTAGGCCCCACAACATGGTCCTTTCTAATTATGAAGGAAAGTTTGGCCAAACTATGAGAGGTGATGTATGTTTTAATTTCAAGCGTAATGTGACGCACCCCTTTTATACTATGTTTATAATTAGGGGTATAGAAAGGGGGTGTTACATATGTTCCTCATTACTTCTTCAGAAAATTGATCCCAAACGATTTAGTTCTATTCCACACCGAATTATGACATGGATACCGATCAACGATACTTAAGGCTTCCTTCGGCTCCTTCAGTGCCCAACAAAGCCTTGAGGGCAACTGTTCTGGACTAACCATATAAAAACAGTTCACATGCTATGAGAATGTACACAATCTTTGATCTCCAATTTCACTATACTCATGTTAAATCTTGAAATGACTTGAGCATTAGAGTGCTAACCATGCAGGTCCACCCAGCGCCAACATAAATGAGAGTAAAGTCACCGTTCATGATCAACTGTTATCCAACTCTCTTCATATTTAATTATATATATATATATATATATATATATATATATATATATATATATATATATATATATATATATATATATATATATATATATATATATATATATATATATATAATTTTAGCATTTCAAATTTAAATTTTATTTAAAGGAGTCTTTCTTATTTAATTATATATATATATATATATATATATATATATATATATATATATATATATATATATATATATATATATATATATATATATATATATATATATATATATATATATATATATATATATATATATATATATATATATATATATATATATATATATATATATATATATATATATATATATATATATATATATATATATATATATATATATATATATATATATATATATATATATATATATATATATATATATATATATATATATATATATATATATATATATATATATATATATATATATATATATATATATATATATATATATATATATATATATATATATATATATATATATGAACAAATCTTAGCATTTCCAATTTAAATTTTATTTAAAGGAGTCTTTCTTAAATACGCTAGGCCTATAGAAAGAATATTTAAAGGCTTATGTTAGGAATAACTTTTTAAATTTTAGCTAATTAATTGGCTTCATTTGAGCTGGTTCTCAAATAATTCGTGTTCATTTTGAATAAACACAAACTGAATGAATGGATAAGGAACTTACTTGTACATTACTACTATTTAAGGAAAATAAATAAATAATTCTAAATAGAAACCTTGAGTGACCTATCTCATTAAACACAAATAATTAAGCCACCTATCTAACTACTCGTTCATTTTTAGAACAACTTTTGTAACAATGATAAGATATGATAATATACAACTAACAAGAATGGTTTCTGAAATATGAAACTAACAAAAAATAAATTTCAACATAAACAACCAAATAATTGTTATAATTTTTTCCTCATTATGGAATTAACTTTAGTTGTAACATCGTCACATTTGCAACTTAACTGATTACAAATTAACTGATTTACAAATATGGATATTTAATAGCAACATCTTTCAATTTATCCAATGCATCCAAATTCATCATCAATTAATTAATTTCCTTAATTCTTTCTAATCATGTCATTATCATCTCCTCAAGTTGAATCTATAATCGAATTCACACCTATTTCTCAACATGATCATGATCATGGTCAAACGTTGAATAATAACAATGATCACAATCACATTCGTGTCAATAATAATATTAATCGTCCCATAGTAATCGAGCCTATTGAGAAACCTTTTGATTGGGAACTTTTAGTGATAATATTGCGTTTGGCCTTAGTTGGAACATTAATCGTCGGAGTTTCCTTACGCGAAACAAAAGTCAACAAACCAAAAACAATTCCAAATCCACCAAGAATCTTCATCAACAAGCTTGACATTCCTGAAATCAAAATCATTGATGGTGAATTATCGGCTATATGGGAAATAACATTAACCATATCCAATGTTATGAACGCGACGATAAACATAGGAAGACTCGACACTACGTTATGTTACAAGGAAGATGATACATTGGCATGGAAAACTCCTATATTGCGAAAATATGATGTAAATAGCCCGATTTTCTCTTTGATCGGGAATGATGCGAAGAAGGTGCATTTTAAATTGAATACAACAGGTTGGGAAAAAGATCAAGCTGTTGTGGATGATAGTGTGATTCAATCTATAGCACAAGATATGCAAAAAGGTAATACTAGGTTTAGTTTGCATATGTTGGTTTTGGGAGAAGTTGAATCTAGTGATGGGTGGGTTTTACCTTTTGGTATGTTCCCAATATGCAAAACTTTGGGAGTTAAATTTGAAAGGGATGATCACAAAGGTGAGACAGGCACAATGATTGATTCCAATCCTATAGAGTGTTTAGGTATTGTTGAATGGGAAGAAGAAAGAATGGGATGAGTGAAATTTAAATAGAGGATGCATGATTTCTTATAAGCACATATTGTTTTTTGATTTTTGTACAAAATTTTATGTGTTGTTAGAAATGAATATGATAGTTATTTTCTCTCTTTTTTTTGTTTAAATTTATTTTTCATTTGTTTTTTACTACCAAGTGTATTTTATGAGAATGTTTTTTTTATATGTGTGGCTAACATTTCTTGTGAGAAAAATGTGGTAGATGTATGGATATGGAACCATAGCCCATGTGAAAGTTATGATATTTTATGAGTGAGAACGTGTGATTGGATGAAACTATACGATATTTATTTATTTTAGTTAAATAAGTTTGTGTATCTTCTAAATATATCGAATTCCGCTATTAGTTGTTCAAAATAATTTCTTCAAATTTTAATTTTGTTGAAGTTTTTCGTCCACACTATCACATTTTGTTAATTTTTTGATAAATTGGTGTAACAGTCTTCATAATATATATATATATATATATATATATATATATATATATATATATATATATATATATATATATATATATATATATATATATATATATATATATATATATATATATATATATATATATATATATATATATATATATATATATATATATATATATATATATATATATATATATATATATATATATATATATATATATATATATATATATATATATATATAGAGAGAGAGAGAGAGAGAGAGAGAGAGAGAGAGAGAGAGAGAGAGAGAGAGAGAGAGAGAGAGAGAGAGAGAGAATACATTATAAAAAATATTAATTGGTATTGATACAACACAAGTGCCTAACAACATCATTATATACATGTTCATAACATAAAATACAATGCATGACACATGAAATACAATAGGGTCTAAACAAAAACCAATATCCATGTACAATATCCTCATTGCATATAATTCACAGCGGAAGATCACGATAACAAAGTCTTCGAAACATCATCAGACAACCTTGTCTTTGCCTGTAACCTACAAAGAACTACCTGAAAACCATAACAATAGTGGGGTCAGAAAATAATCTCATTGAGTTCTCCTATCCTATGGGTTAACTCGGGTTTAAATGGATCTCTTATAGATCCTTGACTTAAGCCTTTCATCTTCGTCCTACTTGTGTACACTTACACAATAGAATAAGGACTTAAGCATCTAAAGGAATTTACGTTTCGTATAGAAAAACACGACATGAATTGACATAACTCAACAAATTACTGTATGGAATGCAAAATGTAACACAAGGGTGATTATCCCAAAATTATCAGAAAGATCTACTAATCCATCCGTCAGATATGGTGAATGGTATACTAAACATCCACTGTACGGACACACTAACACCAGATATGGCCAACAGAAATACCCAACCTCCACTGTTTAGAATACACTATCTACTAGATATGGCCATCGACACTCCTAGCCTCCATGTTGTGGTTATAGCCAATTTATCAAATATGGTCAACGGTAGTCCTAGCCTCCACTAAATGGATTCATAATCTATAATATATGGCCAACAGTAGTCCTAGCCTCCACTGAATGAAATACGCTTAACAGAGTTACATTCATCTATCTCAATGATTCCTCTTTCTCAATTACCACTCTGTATAAGTCTCAAACTCGGGACAATCACAAATAAGGGTTATTTTCGAATACATGATAGGTCTCAACAATCTCCATGTGGCTATATCACAACCACCATGGGACAATACACAATTCCTTCTGATTATATCAAAATCACAATATAATATAACATGTTTCCATACAAGATTATTGAATTACAACTATGACATTGCTCTCCATCTATGCCTTCGACATTCTCGTGGATGAGACGACACATCCCTAGAGACTTCTAGCTCATGAATGCACGTCGTGGTAACTCATACATTCGAGTATCACAACCTAAGTTATTTATCGTAACCTAAGTTATCTTTCTAATTTCGTTCATCTAATTATAACTCTAGATTTTAGTCTCACTCATCATCATTGGTTTTAATCTATTATTGTTTATTCAACGCAAATAAATTATAACATAAGTCATAAGGCACACATAAGAAAAGGAAGGTATAATCCATTAATCAAGAGCATATATTCAAATAAGTATCATCCAACATCATCATCAGATAAAGCCTATAAAAAGCTTTCCAACACATATGACCGCATCTCATTTTGAGTTATGAAACTCAAGATACGCTATTTCCAATGTAGCTAGAATTTTCATGACAACAGATCTCGCTAAGCGAGAATCTCTCTCGCTCACCGAAAATGATAAGACAAAAAACTAAAATCTCATCTTTCAAATATTACGGGTTAACGACTTGCTCATAGACCAATAATATTCTTAAGAGAACCTCGTCTGAGTGTAGTGTCGTGTATCAACCATTCCAAGCCTACGCCAGGAAGGTCACTACACTACGTCCTAAAAAGCCAGATGAGTTAAAAGTGTTCTAAAGGTCTCCCAGAATCCCATACTCCTAGGTCAAAAATAACAACGCCATTACGACTACTCACATGAAATTAGTACCTCCAAAGGGGCCTCATCTGAACGGCGTTCTCATACCAACTTAACAACGCTTAACGCCCATAAGGTCGACATGACTATACCACCATCCTATCTTAAGTGCGCTCAAGTCCGGGCAGGGGTCTTATCCTCACCACATAGAGATCACCAAACACCCAAAAACAAAAAGTAGCAAACAACAACAAAAATATACAAAACCAATAATAATCACAGATAAACAAGCCAAGCTTAACCCTCTTCGGGACTACTCCTCATCAGAGTCGTCAACTGTCGCGGAAGGAAAAATTGAGATTAAACTATTAATTAACTTAACTCGAAAAACAAGATTCGCCACCTAAATTTATTGTTTCCAAAGAAAAAAGGGAAAAGGTCAAACCAAATCCATAAAAAGCAAAAAAAGGCTAAAAAAGAGAGATCTGGATACGAGGGTTGTTTATGCAAGGGAAATGTATTAGCACCCCTCACATCCATTATACTCAACAGGAACCACTTGTAAATTCGTGTTTATCAAAAAGATGGGTTGTTTGTTGATTTATTTTAATTGAAAAGATGTTTTGTCGTATTCGAGTGGAAAAACTCAACTTACTACTCACAAGTGTGAGGAAATAAGCATTTGCATCATCTTGCTATGGAGAACTTTGACTTGATCTTTCTCACAAGCACATCTCAACATTCAAGTGGAAAATGTCAATCATTTCTCAACATCTTGTAGAAGTATAGTGAGTTTCATCACTATAAGAATATACTAATATCCAATCTTTTGAAAAAGGCTCTTAAATAAAAATGCACAAAGGCACAAAAAAAGAAGTTTGATGAGGTTTGTCTTTTTTAGAGTTTTGAAAAGAGTTTGAATATGCTTAAGTATTTTAGCATTTATTGAGAACATATTTTTTGGATCACTTGACAAAGTCAAGGTTTATAAGAAAGAGGTGTGAAGTTCAAAAACAATAAGTTTTTGGAAATAGAGAGAAGTTTTGAAAATTTAAAAATTGGAAAGGAGAAAAAAAAACTATCCTAAAGTATAAAGTAAATGGTTTCATTGTCAGGTAGCCCAAGAGAAAGCCTTTATATGTGCAAGTTTACTAACCACAAGAAGAGGCAAGCATTTGACATAGGTCAAAATCAACATTCCTTTCCCTTTGGATTGAGCCACGAGATGAACACGCACATAAGTAGATGAATACCACAAGGTCCAGACAAAGGTCACAAGGTCTCAAATAAAAGTCAAGTCTCAGATGAACCAAATGTCTAGATGAATCTTAAGTCTCCAAGCAAAATCTCAGGTATCACAAAACATCAGATGAATTACTCCAAGCAAAGGGAAATAGACCCTATATCTAAGTCCAATAGTCCGGAGTCTCCAAGCATAGGATAGTAACACAAAGTCCAAATGAGAACCACATTAAAGTTTTTTAGGATTTTGATTATTTATTAATGTTTTTGGTCTTTTGAAGATAAAGAAAGCAAAGGTGCATGAAGTAAGAGCATAAAGTAAAAATGCTAAAATGTAAATGACAAAATATAAATGTTAATGTAAAGATTATAAGGTAAATGTGCTAAAATGTAAATGACAAAAACATAAAAATTGCATTAATGTAAAGATTATAAGGTAAATGTTAGCACAATTAATACTGGTTAATGTTAGTGTCAATGAGAATTAAACTGATTCGGAACAAATTTAACGCTATGTTAAGCAATCATAAGTGGACTTATGTATAAGGCACACCTATCTGAGGCCGGTCAATAACAATTTATGTGTCATACATGTTAGAGAAATGACATAAAGTCATCCATCCTAAAACAATGTAAAAAAAGTCAAAACAAAACAAGAAGAAGAAGAAGGAGATATAAATGATAAACCACAAAGGAAAAGAGGATTATCTATCATCAACTTCAATCAAACTTCTTCATGATACTTTGAGATAAACTTATCATCAATCCAAAGTACCAATAATAAAAAAAATGATCATTTAATGATATATTTGAAATGATGAATGTTCAATCTATAAAAACATCAATCCAAAGCCTAATTGAATGAAATTAAGCATTAATCAACCACAAATTATCAAGGTCAACAAAAGTCAAAGCATAAAATAAACCAAATATTTTAAATTTTTTTAAAAGGTTTTAAAATGGAAATTAAAAACAAAATACCAAAGAGGTATCAACACATCAAATAAATGTCCCAAAAAATTTGAGAAGATCACAAATACTATAAGTAATTGAGATCTCAAAAGTTTGGATAAAAACTGTTTCAAAATGGTGAAAAATTAAATGTTGGAAGCTAATGAAAAGGAAAATAAAGAGAAAATAGAAAAAAAAAAATGCTAAAAATCATTTTTAAAATCTAAAAAAAAACATACGTGGTAGAAAATATTTTTATTGATTTATAAAAAATGGAGTGAAAAAGGTTTTTGGAGCTATTTTTTATGATTTTTTTGAAAGAAAAAAGAATTTAAAAACTAATTTTAAC